CAGCAGGAAGCAAAGCTGGTATCATGTCTTGGGCAGGCACAGCTGAGTTTAAGCCACTCCTCACAGACCTACATTAGGACTGGTAACCAGAGACTGCTCCAGAGACGGTGATTTAGGATTAAAGCAAGCCTCATTTTCTTCAAGTGGTGTGCAGGCCCCTGAGCAGTGTTGGCAGCAAGTGTCCCAGGGAATGGGCACACGGACAGGGTCTTTGGGTAGAAAAATCTCCCATAGCAGGACCAAGGATGGGGAGCGAGGGGGAGCATTGAAGTCTCAGCACAATAATTGTTCTACTGCCTTTTGCCGTTGTGTTTTTTCATCAGTTCCTGGCTGCAGTTACAAGCCCAAATTAGCTTATTTAAACCAGGTGCCTGCAAAGAAACTGTAGTGACCTCAGCTAGAGCTTCTGGGAGGATTCCTGCCCAGGTGAACCAGGTCGGAAGTACTCCAGGGATTAAAAGGAGGCATTACCCCATACCTCCCCGCGGCACCCTGCACCCTCCCCTGTGGCCTCTCTGCTATGGCTGCCCCCAGCCCCTTGGATGTTCTTGCGCTGGAGCAGACTCAAGAGTTGTTGAAAGTCCCTGAGCATGGAAGAGATGTTCTTCCAGTAAGCAACGTGCAGTCTCTCCTAAGCAGAACAGACACCTCACAGAGCATTAACCCTCGCAGATTTACGCTTTGCTGTGGGCACACAACTGCCCGCAAGCCCCAGGGAGCAAGAAATACAGCAGACTGGGACAACGTGGCAGTGAGGAAAGTTGAGGTAGATAAGGGGTAGGAAGTGCAGGCAGGAAGGACAACTTTAAACCACACAGGACTGCGCGGCACCGCTCCCTCTGAGGCTGCAGCATGGGAGTCAGGCAGCTCTTCATACAAAGGATGGTCTCAGCTGCCATCACAGGACACACCTTGGGAACTGGAGGCCCAAAGATGAGAAGGGAAGTGCAGGCAGCCGCCAGCTAAGGCAGTGTGAGAGCCAGGAATGGGAAGAACACAGGTGTCCTCAGCCCCAGGTCCTTGCCCTTGACACAGAGATTTGGTCACCTTTTTGAAAGAGGGTCAGCTGGGACAGCCCAATGGTGGTTTCTGTTCAGGACCACAAGGCCAGGAAGGCACAAGTGCAGCAGGATTGGTGCTCGGTTTAACGTTTAACCAAATCACACTTTGCTAGGGGCAGGTTGCAGCATTTCAGGGAAGGGAGAGAGCAGAGAATCCAGAGCAGGATGGATGAAGGTTTCCGCGGTCCCATTTGAAGAGATGTGCCAGTGGCCAGACCAGCTGCAGAGGGGAAACCATAGACGGGAAACAGCATCTGCAGTCATTGCACTTGCCAACAAAGCACGAGATGACCTGACCACCCCCAGGCCCAAGCGGCATGAACTACTAAAGGTACAGTACAAGACAGCCTGATCGCCAGAGCTCAAAGACACCATGCGCTGAAGCAGGTGGACATGATTGGACCTGCAGCCAGACTGCGGGAGAAATGCTAAATCATGCATGGAAAATATCCCAGGACACCTCTTCTCAGCACCCCTGCGGCGCTGGGGCTGTGGCATACCACACTGCCTGTGCCCTGGCCTTTCTGTCCCGCTCTATCGCTCATCGGTCACAGCCTCGGGGCACGTGGGGCGTGTGAGCAGGCCGGGGCAGATAGACCTGCAGGGGTGCTGCACTGCTCTGATTAGCGCAATCAAGCCATCACACACGGTTTCCTGGCTGCTGGGTACAGCTGGCCCCAGGCTATAAAACCAGCCTCTGAGCACTAGGAGACTCAGACTTCCACACATCTTGGAAGGAGTGTCCAGCTGTGGGAAGAGATGTGCCAGCCCCAGCCACTGCTGGCCGTGCTGCTCTTGCTTTCCTGCCCACGGGCCAATGCCAGTAGGCTGGGGTGCCGCAAGCTGCTGCGGGTGAGGCTGCTGGTCTGGGCTCTGACCTCAGCAGCCACCAGCTCACCCTGCTGTGGGATGGCTTGCAGGTGCTCTACTGGGTCAGGCTGTGGGGGGCCATGAGGCTCAGCCCCACTCCCACCCTTACATGGCATACCTGAAGGTAGGGATGCTAGCCTGCGGAGGCTTCCTGGTGGCCCCTGACTGGGTGATGACAGCTGCACACTGCATGGGGTGAGTACTTCACACAGGGGATTTACCCCCTTCTTCCTCCCCTAACCTGTGAGGTCCACCACTGGAGTAATTTTGGAGCAGGTATCTCTTCCTTCTGTGCTGAGTAGCTCCCTCCAATTGCCTGGAGATGGAGAGGGATGCGGGTGAGACCCAAGTTGTTTTCTCCCTTCTCTCTTCTGCTGCACTGGGGGCTCACAACATCCACGAACCAGAAACAACTCTCCCAACTGGGAGATCTCAGATACCACCAGCACCCTGCGTACAATCCCAACACCGTGTCTAATGACATCGTGCTGCGCAAGGCAAGGCAGTCCTGCAGCAGGCAGTGGGTCGGAGGGTAGACTGGGGCTGTGAGTCTAGCAGGGTCTGGGCAGAGGACATTCTTGTTAGTTCCTTCTGCAAACCATCAGCTGCTTCTGTCCGTGAGTGCGGGAGGCAGGCAGGAATGGGAGGGACCCGGGAGGGAACCATAGGCAGGGCTTGGAGTGGCATGCCCTATTTGCAGCAGCTTACCAGAGCTTGCAGTGCTGTATGTCCTGCTAGACCTCCCCTACCTCAAGTTCCTTCAGCTGTTCTGTTCGTAGCCTTCTCCAAAAACCTTGCTTTCTCCCAGCTGACAGCAAAGGCCACTCTCAATGACTACGTCAAGACCATTCCACTGCCCAAGACCAGCAGCGACCTCCTCACGGGCACCAAGTGCAGCATAGCCAGGTGGGGCCTGATCGATGATGACCAGGCGACCAACAAACCCTTTGAAACCAAAGTCTCCATCTACAGCCGCGGGAAATGCATCCGCTTCTAGCCACGTCTCAGCACTGGCATGGTTTGTGCTGGCAGCTTCCACAAGCTCAGGGACTCCAGCCAGGTATGGGCTGCCAACAGGCTGGGGGCTTGGCTGCGGGGAAGGGGGGTTCTGTGGTAGCAGGGGCTGCTGCTGGCACGGACTGGTTCCCAGGAGAGGTGTCGAGCATTTGATTCGTAGCTCCCATGTGGACTGGCTCTCTGGATGCCCCGACACCACAGTCTATGCAGAGTCCCGGGGCAGAGCCCCAGCCCACCCGCTCCAGACAGCTGGAGGGCGCGTGGGGCAGCAGCGGAGCCACAGACCTGGAGCAGAGACCGGCCCTGCTAGCAGCGCCTGGGCAGAGAGGGACCGAGGTGGAACCTGCTCCCCCCGGGAAGAGGCCTCTCAAACCAGTCTCTCACCTGCCCTCAGGGAGATTCTGGTGGGCCCCTGGTGTGCAATAAGGTGGCACGAGGCATCGTTTCCTTCAGGTGTGACACCCCACCTGGGGTCTACACCCGCATCTCCAACTACCTGCCTGGGATCACAAAAGTGCTGAAGAAGTAGCAGCAGTGGCACTCGCTCCGGCACTGGTGTGGCCCTAGAGACTGCACTGGTTTCCTTCCTGCTCCTGCTG